AATTACCTTTAGCGCCTTCTGAAAGCAATGCATAATTTGAACAAATATTCTCAGTTTTAGATGCTGTCTAATATGAGAATAGGCTGGATATGGGTACAGCCAAAGTCATCCTCATTGTTAAAACCAAGTTGAAATTATCATGCATTGGATTTCACACTTGTTAACTTGGATATAATTTCAAAAAAGAAAAATCCACTCTCCCAACAAGTCAATACTGGGAAACCTATGTAAAATGCCTTCTTTTGGTTCATGAAGTGCCATTCATTTTGCTACTTCAGTAACTAAAGCCTGCTGGATGGGGTCCAAGGCCAGCTCTGATTACATGGAATCCCACTCCAAAGGCAACATGTCAGAAGGAGGAGAGCCTCACACCTGTTAGGTGTTCCAGCCATGTAGTCTGAATCTGATGTCTCCATTGGATACAAGCTCAGTGTTTAGAAATGCAGAAGTTATGGCCCATGTGTGGCTCACCCAGCTCTACAGGAACCCAGGATGAGTTGGCAGGCTGAGAAAGGGAAGGAGTAAAAAATGCTTACTTCCTTTTTTCTTCCATCTCTCCCTATTTTCCCACTTCTAAAATGTCATGACAGCTCTACATGTAAAGCAAGGGGTTTTAAAAGAATAACATATATTTAAATGAGGAACAGAGGCGTACCAGATGTTTGGGGCACCTAAAACAGTTTCAGGGAAAGGCAAAAGCAGAACTGAGAGACACAAAAAAAGTAGGAAATAGAAAGTGACATTGAGTTCTACCAAGCCCTCCTTGTTTCATCTCCAAGTTATATGGCGGAAAGAAAGACTGAGTTCATAAAAGGAGACCCTCTGGGCCATGAGTCGGTGGGATTTTTTAAATGTGCTCTGTTGAACTAGGTTTAGGACTTCTGCTTTGCACCCTCCCTGCCACTCCTACTGCTCAGTAAAATTATCTTTGATTATAACTTATCTTAAATTCTGTGCTTTCAAAACCCTATCAGCCAAGAAAATTTGGGGGTCTTGTGAGTGTGGTTCAGTGGTTCCATATATTCGAGGCTCTGTGGCTTCCTCTGCTTGTTGTAGATGATGTGTCTGAGGAGATACCCATGACATGACCTTAGTGTTTCCCTTTATCATGGAATTTTTTTTTCCAACCACATTTCTTAGCAGCTGTCACTCAAAGTCTAGTGACCTATATTAGTATCAAACAGGCCTGTGATACACATCGGTGAGTCCAAACTATCATTGCTGGTTTAAAGAAACACCAAGCCCTCCTCCAGGCTAAATAAGAGCCTTGGACTTAGCATTCCTACTTAATGATTTGCCTATAATACCATCACCTTGCGTAATTCATAAGTGAAAGCTAAGGCGGGTAACTTTTATTCTAAACATACAGCTACTGCTCTACCAGGAAAATAAGGGAAAGTAGGACATTTAAGCATGCATGTGTTCTCTGCTAAGAGTTGTAATGTGAGATACTGGACATTTCTATTAAGATGGTAGATTTATATGCAGGATATATATGCGTATAAGCAGGATTTCTCAGCTATTGCAATTTACTTTAAAAAGCATATACTGTGTGAGTTATTCTTCATGTTCTTTTCCAGTTAAATTTTACATAACTATAACTACAAAAAATTCTTAAAGCAATACCATTTATTGAGTGCTAATAACTTTTGGGTAGATAAATAATTCTGTCCTTAAGTTCATGACTCTATTATCTACTTATTTTCACACCAACATAACTATATAGCAGTGCTCTCAAAGTCCCCTCAGGAGCCTTGATCAAACTACCCATAGTTGTTGACAACTTAAAAATTGGGAATAATCAGCAATTTATTCTATAACTCGCAAAAATTGAGAAGAATTAGTAATCTAAGAAGTCTTCACACTAAATTCATGATCCTGCTACTGGCACTTGGAGGTATTCTGCCAAGCTTCTTAGTTTGAAACCAGTTAATTGTCCTCATTTTAGATTTAAGATAACATAATAGGTAGTAGTCAATCTGTTCTTTCTGGTTTTAACGGTTAAGAAGATTTTAGTCTTTGTTTTATTTTAATTACCCAATTAACTTCTTAGTTATACTGCTATCTTGGGATCAAAAACCTGCAAACAATTTTAGGCTTCATGTTAATAGCAGAAGGAGATTGGAATGTACCAACTACAATCCCGAAAGGGAATGGCTAAGCATGGATTTGATTTGAGTTCAAAAAGCAAAACTTTTAGAAGATGAGATATGACACATTAATGTCACATTTTTTAAATAATTCACAAAACGATCCCATTTCCAGGTTAGAATTCTAACTTCTGGCAATCTAAGACTCCACCATCCCATTAGAATAGTTGGGGATGTTGTCAGACATACTTTGAATTAACCCATCAATTCACACCCAAGTACTTTAGCATTCATAAGCTGCAAAATAAATTACCCTAAAAATAATTTGTCATTTGACACCTTCCAAAATGCCTTGAAAGGGGGAAAAAAATCTACTTTATTCCAGAGAGATCAAAGTAGGTGGAGTGGGGGAGGTGTAATAAAAATATCTTGCCCGTGTACAGGGGGGAAATTAGTCTTTCCAGTAAAACTGCTTACAAAAAAAAGAAGAAGAAGAAAAGAAGAAAGAAAGAAAGAAAGAAAGAAAGAAAGAAAGAAAGAAAGAAAGAAAGAAAAAGAAAAAGAGGAAAAAAAAAAGATAAAAGCCAGTAAGGAAACTAACTTAGCCTTCTGAGAATTCTTTCCCATTCTCCAGTACTATAGAGCGACTGACTTCGAGGTTCCTAAACAAATGGCCAAGTCTTAAAAGGAAAAGAAAAGAAAAGGGGGAAAAAAAAAAAAAAAAGGATGCTTTTACAGTATTCCTTTCTCAGAAGGGAGCTAAATCTACAGGACACGAGAAGCCTTCAAAACCCACTATTTTTACTGCTTGAAAGCACAAATCCTCCCTCCCAAGAGCAGCCTTTGGCTTGTCCCACTTTGCTAAGTCTTGCAAAAAGGGTCTTCACATTAACTCGTGAGACAGTGGTGGTGCGGCTCTAGCTATCACCGGAACGTCAGCAAGTGTTGGGCTCAGTGCGGGGTTGGGGTACACCTCACAGTTGAATTAGGAATGCGAGCGGTAAGGTGACAACATCACTTTCTCCTTGGGCAATGCTCAGGATGGGTGGTAGCAGTTCAGAGTTGCTAAATGCTGAGAAGTTGAGAGCGAGAAGGGTAAAAGGACGGGGAATGGAGGAGGAGGGTGAGAAGGGAAGGAGGCGGCGGAGGAGGCCGAGGAGGGAACAGAGGCGGACGGCGAGAAAGGGGTAGAGCTACAGCACAGGAATGAGAATTCCAGGGCAGGGCACGGGGCCCACTGCAGCACGGCGCCCGCGGGCAGCCAGAGACTCTCCCCGAGCCTCCACAGCTCCCCAAACGTCCCAGGTGGGGCAACTGCCCAGGCGTCCCCCGCCCGCAAGCGAGCATCTGCCCTTTGGACGGTCTAACAACTCGCAGTTCCCCTCCTCCTGCAGCAGTGGGGGCCTCCCGGGGTGCTCAGCCTCCACACCCACCACCTCCATCTCCGCCCACCCACTCCTCCTCCTCCCCTTCCATCTTTTCCTCCCCCTCCTCCTCCTTCGTCTTCCTCCCTCCTCCTCCTCCCCCCTCTCGCTCCGGGCCCCCGCAGACGGCATCCCCCCCCCCCTCGGAGCGAGCCGCCCCAGCTACGCTGCGTTTGAAATGTTCGGAGGCAGGGAGACAGCAGCCACTTGCTGCCTGGCCGCTGGGGCTCGGGGTGCCAGCGCGGCCCCCGGCGGAGCTCCGGGTGTCAGGGTGGCCGCGGGGAGCCATGATCTACTACACCGCAGTGCCGGCGTCAGGAGCCTCCAGCGCTGGGCGGCCACTGCGGGACGCCCGGGGCCCCGCCCCCGCCCCCGACGCAGCCCCAGACACAAACACCCGGCCCCCGAGCCCTCCCCAGCCTGAACTGAACCCCGGGACGCCACACACCCCCGCTGCCCGCGCGCGCGGCTCCCAGACTGGCTTCGCCCAGCCTCCTCGTCGGCGCGCCGCCGCCACCACGCAGCCCTCCGGACTGGCCTCCCCTAGTTGCTCGCCCACAGCTTCGCCGCCACCCCCAAACGCCTCAGATTGGGATACCGGGAAGTGAACCCCCGGGACTCGACTCCCCGAATCACCTGCATTTGCATTTCTTATGTAATGCATTGCAAGTTTCCCGGTTGGAGCCTTTGGAATAGGGGCGCATGATGACCGGAGCCTGAAGCTGGGACCCACGACCCGGCTCGTCCCACCCGCGGGACTCGGGCGCAGGGTTTTGACACTGCTTTTTGGGGTGGGGGGGTTAAATTGCATATACTGGAGGGGCTGGGCTTGTCTTCTCCGTCTGGGGTTCCCCCCAGGCATAAGCCCAGCTCAAGTATTCCCACTGGCAGGAGGTGTCGGAGGCAGACGGGGGAATGAGTTAATACTCGTGCCGGGAGAGCTAGACGGGGGAGGGAGGCGGGGGCTGACGGAGGAGCGGGGCCGCGAGGGAGAGGGCCTCTTTTACTTTGGTAAATGTGATGGGATGACGAATATTGTGCAAGCTAATCAGAAAGTCTAGAGCAGGTCCTCCGCACCTAGCTACGTCCCTGAACCTGCTGCAGAAGTAAGGAGAGCTCGCGGTTCTTTTTCCTGGCAACTACCGAACCTTCAACTGCCTCGGGCAAAACCGTAAGCCACAGCCCTTCAATATTCCACCAAACATAGGTAACCAAATACATTAAAAAAAAAAAAAAAAAAAAGTTTCCTCCTCCCTCCTAGTGATGGATTGTGTCACAGCCAAGAGATGCTGATAATGGTTTTCCGGCTCAGAGACACCCATCCAGCTGTTACCTGTTTATCCATCAACACCTCTATATGCAACACTGTCCTGGTTCCTTTTCTGTTTCCCCTGCCTTCCTGCATAGCAGAACTGCAGATATAGCTCAATGAGCAACAGACAGGTTATTATGAGGAAAAACATAACATGATGCATGTTTTGCTTACCAGTTGGGTTCTTGTTTTTCTTAAGACTCTTGCCACAAAGACACTGCAGCATATGCGTTCCTTTGCTGAAAATGTTCCAAAGAAACCACATTGATTTGGGCGAAAAGCAATCCAGCAGCTTAGACACCCTGAGAAAGAAGAGATCCTTGTGGTTGCATAATAATAATTTGAAATCAGTTCTCCTGAAGAGGGGCACCGGTTTTACCATAGGAAAAACGATAATATTCCGGATCTTCTCCCAGTTTTTTCCCCTCACGTGGTATATTTCTTTGAGACTTCTCAGTGATTGTTTTTTTTCGGCCAGGGTGAATGATTTATCCCCCTCGATCACCACTGGATTATTACCAAAGGGTTGGGAAAAAAATCCTTTTTCAGCATGAAGCCAAACAAAAAAGCAAAGAAATCCCAACAGAGACCAGAACTAATCAGAGAGAACAGTAATGCACAAAAGATCCCCAAAGAGAAAACCATAGCCTTTTACTTGATCGCTATGAGGATGGGTGGGTCTGCAGAAGGCAAAGCAGGATTCATCTCACTGAGAGAAGACTGCCATTGTGTAGCCCCTAGGAGAGAAGGAAAAAAAAAAAAGGAAAAAGAAAGAAAGAAAGAAGAAAAAAAAAGGGAAAAAAAAAAAAACCACCAGCACACACACACACACCAATACCACCTCCGAAATCGAGTCTAACCGCCGAAGACAGAGCCTCCCTTCTCCCAGTGTCGTTTTTTTTTTTTTTATAATCAATCGCCAGTGCTCAGTGGGATCGGATTGAACCTGCAGTTCTCAATCACCACGAAGAAAAGATGCAAATCCAGGTGCCCCCTCCCCTTGTCAGGCTGGTAGTAGGTAGAGAGCGCCACAGATCCCCTTCCTCCTTCCCGTCACTCTCCCAGTTTCCAACAACGGCGAGCATGAGGAAAATCTCCCCTCCGGATTCCTCGCCCAGCCTCGGATGTGAGTTACAGGCATTAGAGGGAGGAGGAGGAGGAGTTGAAGTTTGCATTGAAAAGACTGGCTTTCCATGACGTAGCCACGTGCTTTCAGACCCGTCACCAGTGAGATGCTTCAACCCGCCCGGGGAGGGCAGTGTCACTGCAGTCTCTCCGCTACTTTCCCCCTGGAAGTCCCCCACCGCCCGCACCCAGCCCCAGCCCCAGCCCCAGCCCTGGACCCTCTCCCTCCTCTGCCCAGAATGAGTCGGTGGGCTGCTTGCTCCTGGAGCCACCTAACAAGAGTGAAAAGTGGATTTTGAAAAGGAAAATGAACAATTATAATTAGTAAGCCTTGGAAAATATGTGAGAGGGAAGGGGATTGAAGAGGAACAGTACTTTATGACCACCCCTCACAGCCCAAATGAGTTCTACCTCACTTACATTAGCAAAAAACAGCATAGAAAGCCTCTAAAACATGAAGGAAAACTCAAGTTTCTTTAGTTCTTATTATTTGAATTCTACTTAAAGTGCTGTTTGAAAAATGTAAGAAGACTAGGCATAGGACAAATATGTACTTACAGAAACAGCCTTTTAAAAAGATAACCACTAAAATCTAGGTGGCAAACTATATTTTGGTGGAGAGGGTCATATGAGAAAAGTTAACACCTTTTTTAGACAGACAATCCATTATCCTCAAATAATTGTTTTGAACAGAAAACACTCTGCTTAGATTACACCCTAATTCATTGCTTGTTTCTGTGCCCATTATTGAGCTAGCATTAAATTCACCTTCATTCCCTTCTCATCTACACTAACATACAACCGTGTCACCCCCCACCACCATCTAACCTAACCAAACAGGCAAATTTTCTGCTTCCCCAGGATACAACCCAGCTTCCTTCTTCCTCAGGAAATCAAAAGATTTAAGACAGAACTAAAGATTTTGTCTTATTTGGGGAAAAATACAATGTATAAGATATAGCAACTATTACAAAGAATAATATCACAAACTCCAGCGTACTCACGGTTCTCAAATTAACAAATGTTAGCATTTCAACACATTTGTGACCTGAGCATTTCAGAAAAGTAAAATTGACCTCTCTCACTCTTATTAAGTAAATGGATTAAAGTTATGCCAATTTATTTCCATTTTATGGAAAACTGATATAAGATTTTTAACTAATTTAAAAATAAGTTCTTAGGGGTGTGTGGGTGGCTCAGTCAGATAAGCAACTGCCTTTGGCTCAGGTCATGATCTCAGGGTCCTGGGATCAAGCCCCACATCAGGCTCCATGCTCAGTGGGGAGTCTGCCTCTCCTTCTCCCCCTGCTTATTTCTCTCTCTCTCTCTCTCAAATAAATTAATTAATTAAATATTTTAAAAAACAAAAAATATGTTCTTTGAAGCTCCATTTTAATTCCAAAAATAAAATAAAATAAAATAAAATCTCAAAATGCCTCTACTGCATGAGATCTCAAACTATCTTATAAACAAAGAGCTGTTGATTTGTTGTTGAGGATTGAGTCAAGAAATTGATTTTAAAAAAATTAACACTTTGATTAGCAGTTATCAAAAAATAAAAAGGTAATAACTTTCCCACTGCGAGTTTTTTTTAATATCTGAGATGAGACGTCAAAATTTGTATCCAATACCCAAAACCCTTTTGGGAAACATTAGTCAATTTTAGATAAGATAGAAAAAGAATCTAAAATGAATAAGTTCTATTAATGATATGAAACTGGAAAGTTAAATAGTGATGCCCTCAGTGTGCCAAAAGAGTCATGTCATAAAGCCCAAGGAAACTACCGAAATTAACGGCAGTCTAAATAAAGTTTGGGAAGTAAAGAAAAAGAGAATACGAAGAGTCTAAAAATTTAATGCCAAGTGACTTAGGACAAGCAGTCTGAAAAAAAAAATGAAGAACAGAATTCCTTTTTGAAAGGGGAAAAATGGGATAGCATTGCCAAAAATTAAGAAAGCATTTTTTATTTTAATCAATCGGGGACAAATACCGTATGCTGCTTCTATAACATTCTGGTGTCCTCTCCTGGTTCTAGAATATCCCAATATGGATGGAGGCCAGAGAAACAATTGAGTCAAAAATATTCTCCCATCAAGTTCTTCTGAGTTCACATAGCTCTAAGGTTCTATAAAAGTTTGCTGAGTTCCCTGAGGTATTTCACAAGTAGAGTAAAATCTGGGGAGATGTTCTGTAATTATTAAAAATGTTTACATGCTAAGTTTGTGTAGAAAGAACACTTCTCATACTGGTTCTTCTTGCATTTCCAAATTGGACCCTCTTCTTTACATTATAACCATGAATTTGATCCCTCCTCAAAAAAAGATTTACTGCCAGAAAGCTGTGGTTTGTTTTCCCATATATTGATGGAAAATTTATTGCATCTTTGTCCTATCACCTAAGGAACAACATAAAAGGTCATTAACTGTGACTACTATTTACTGAGAATCTATTATGCCAGGCACTGTGTTATTGCGTCTCATCTTTTTATGCCATTTAAATGAAAAATAAATCTTTTAGTACAATGTATGAGATTTCTATAGTTCCTTTCTATATTTATTGACACATTATGTACTTATGTTACATAGGCTATTATTAATATTATTAAACAAACAAACAAAAAATACCAAATGTTTTTGTCTGGAAAAGATGGCCTAACCCTGGTTCCGAAGGACTTGGCAACTTATGATGACCTCTGAGGCACCCAATTCAATTATTCAACCATTATTTTTTGAGCATTGACCCCCGCCCTCCGCCCGTGAAAGTTTTCTTATAGGACTCCATTTTGCAGGCTAACCCATAATATTAAACCAGCTCTACAGCTACATAATAAAGAAGACCACAAGTAGTCCAAGAATCAACATACGTTTCTGGGGACTGCCAGCTTAGGGATGATCTGAAGATACTTACAGAGACCTGAGTCCAGACCATTATTTAAGACCATGTTTTGGAAGACTATCAGTACTGTTACTTATGTTTTGCCATGCTACAAATCACTATTAGACAAAAAAAAATTAGAACTATTAGAAAAAAAATGCAAGCTTTAGAACACATGTAAGTAAAGCTAAAATGAGGAAAGCTTCATCATAACTACAAGAAATAGCAGTAAAATTTGTAGTATATATAGATAGAAAAGACTGTTTTTCTTTACGCTGAGATAAAATAAACCCATTAGTCACTATCAAGGTCATCTAAAAATTAAAGATATCTACAGCACATCATAGTTAACTAACCTAAAGATAAGTATAATGACTAGAATTTCAGAACACAATATACATTTTATTTTAATATAAAACGTGAACTTTCATAAGATTAGGAATCAAAAGTCTTCATAACTGTCTGAGCATGCTTTTTTCTAATTATTCCCAGGAGTTACTTTTCTATGTCATTCTTTCTTTTAATAATAAAACCCCAGTCCCCACCACAATTTGGGAAAGCACATGGATACCCAGGTAGAGAAGAGAATTCCCCATCTCCATCACAGCAACGTTGTGGTCATGTGACTGGATTCTGACCAATGAGATTTGAACAGAAGAAGACTTCCTGGTCACATTCTTCAAAGGAAATCACTTGTCTTCATTTTTCCCTTTTATCCTCTCTGTGAGCTGAAAGGAATTGTGTGAGCAGCTTTGACAGCCCAGACAGGTACACACCCCAGGATTGAAGTACCGAGATAGAAGAAATGGTCAGAGCAGCCAACCTGTCCTTGACTGCCCAGTTAACCTCTGCACTTTAGATGACAGAGAAAGAAACTTTTATTTTGTTTGAGCCACTGTATTTTGTGTGAATTTATCACAGCAGTTTATTCTCTCTACTCTCTTAGGGACTGGTCTGCAATTAATAACAACACACTTATATTTGGGTTACTTATGTTAAAAGGATAAAGAACACCAAGTACATCACTTATAACCTATTGCTTTATTCACAGCCTGTGACTCTCCTTTCCATTCACCAAAGCAGCTACTGATCTCTTAGCTGCCTTTTATAAACTCTCCTGCTTATCCTCACCACCAGGGCAAACATCCCATTGTCAGATCTTACTTCCTTTGTCTCCTTCTCTGCCCTGCTCCCAGCCCATCAGACAGTAACCTATGACAGTTTGGAGCTTATGACCATAACAATAAAGCTTTGATCACTGAAAGGAGAAGAAAGACAGAGGGCAGAGGGACTGGAAGAAAGAGTAGGTCAGAAAGAAAAAAAGAAGACCAGTGTGTACATGAGGACCTCCATGTCTATATTTACCTTGTAAGCCTTTTTCAAAAACATGGTTCCTTTTGTAGTTTGCACATTATTCCTTCTCTATTGTTTCTGTTAAGGATTATCATCACTTTTTAAGGGGTAATTCTAAATTCTGCATCACTGTACCACTCATTAGTACCATTTCCCCTCTCCCTATGTACCCACATTGATTCACGGCATACAAAACCTCTGCTCCTCTCTCCTAGAGGGAACAGCCTGGAAAGGCAACTCCAGTCCTTCTCTCTGCCTCCTCCCAATTTCTTAATAATGAAGGAATGACTTGAGTGGCTTAGCTCTTTCTTCTCTCTTTCTTCAGATCTATCTGCAAAAAGTTTTCAGACCCCTCTCCTTCAGCTCTTCTCTGTGGGAAACACTGGGTCAGCCTTGGAGCCCACAGC